GGTATATAAGTCTACTGCTATTGCTATTGCTATTGTGACCCAAGAACCTGTTTCTAATGTAAGAGTTCCTATTCTCAATCTGCATGGGAAAAATTGAGAGACGTGTTGCTTACGAAATTACAGACTGAGCAGTTTTTTCTGATATATATATGCAATTTCTGATGACCCCTGGTGCCGACAGCAATCCAAAGTGAAAATGTGAATGTGAGTTTAGGGGGGGAAAAAATCACAGTAATGAAATCTGTGTCTATAAATATTGCAACTCAGAAACCCTCAGCATTCCCGTACCTTCCAATTTGGTGTAGATTGCAATGTTTCCATTGACTAGGCCAGCAAATAAATGGTGAGTCTTGTATGCTAAGCTCATCACAGTAGACTTTTCGGGAGCAAAGAAGTGTTGGAGACGGATTTTCTTGGAGCCTTGGCTACTTTTGTAAAGAGAGATGCTATTTAAGAAGAACAGGAAATACTTTAAAAATCATGATATAAAAGGGAAAACAGAAAACCAATTCATTACATTCAAAAGTCTATAGCAGTGTTTCTCAACCTTGGTGACTTGAAGTCCTGTGGACTTCAAGTCACCAAGGTTGAGAAATGTCTTCAAAGAAAACCCAGAGTCCATTTGCCTCTTGAAAATGCACTTTTGGGATTACATTCAAAAATTCCTTTTCCTCTCAATGCTTTTATGTTCTTTATCCAGAAATCTCAATATCTTATCTTTTGTAGCTCTAGATATCTTTTCAATATCTGGAGCTACAAATCTGAGGCTTTTGATTATTACTTCTTCTTTTTTGTTGGCCTATAGAACAACTGGAACCACAGTGCATGGAATTGGTGAAAGAACAAGATTGAAAGACTGAAAGATTTACCATCAACATCTAAAACATTTCATTGTTTAAGGCCTTTTTACTGTAAAATACTCAATATGTCTGCCTTAATTTACTTGTGGCAAATTACCAAAAATTACTATTTATTTTATTTCTGAACGCATCCCACTGCTTGCAAGGAATGGGAAATCATCCTCATTTGTTTTAATGCAACATAGCATTTTTCTATAGGGATGTGCAAAGCTTTAAATAAATTAGATCTTTCAAAATAACATGGATTAGGTTTAGCTGTTTGCTACAAGTAATTGATTTAGTGCATCTCTCTCCCTCCCTCCCTCCCTCTCATATAGAGCTAAATAATCTACAGAAATTAGACACAAACATGAAAAAATACCTTCCTTCTTCCATGCCTACACAAATAGTAGGCACATTGAGGGGTTTTGTAGCCATGTCTCCAGATTCAGGAAACATATTATTCGATTCTTTGGATTTCTCATCTTCAGGAATATAGACCATACAGAGAATTCTTGACTCCACATTGAAGCATTCAATAAGCTTTGGACTGGAGTTTTGAAATGATACAATGGCAATTTGGCCCATTTGATTAGTACAACTGCCAATCTGTATTGTAGAGAAAGGTTTCAGCTTATCTCATAAGCAATAACATTCTTTAACTAATAACATTCATTATAAAATTAGTTACCAAAAGTAATTAAGTTTTAAATAGTTAAATTAAGGAGTTTCTGGAAACTGGATATTAAAAGAAAACAATGATATTATGTGCCTATCTTACTGACTGAAAATATGGGAAAATATTTCACTTGCTAATCACAGAGTTTTGTTTTCTAAAAAAATATTCTTTATTTGTTTAATAGCATTATGTACTACAAATACGTAGATAGGTAAATATTTAATGTACAAGAAATAGTGACATTTTCAGCTTTTATTTCTTAATCCTACAATATAGACATAATTATATATTGGATCATATTGCCAATGAGATTCAATACAAGTGACTTTTTGCAAGCAATGATGATGGTTTTAGGAAAGTATTAACTTGCATGATTTCTGTTAAATATATTTCATACTTCTGCTAAGGTTAAAAACATCTCAGTCTACCTGTACAAAAGAATGTACAAAAGTCACATGCCCACAACTATTTCTGATTTGTCCTCCCCAGTCATTCTCAGGACCAAAAGTCTCAACATTTTAAACTGTTAAGAGGAAATTGAGACCAAGTGATGATTTGCAAAAATCCACATAGGTGAATATTGGGCACAGAAATCAACTTCAGGCCACAACATACACTGTTGCATAATGTCAAAGGATCCACCCATGACTCTACTTTCTAAGTACAGTAAAATTTCTGTACTGTACAATTTCTAAGAAAAGAAGTCTTAAGAAAGGCTTACAATGAGAACTGTCCTGTTGCTTTCATGCATTAAGCATCACCTGTTCTTTACTCTATTCAATAATCCCTTTTTATCAGAGTGGAGTCAGGGCAAATGAATAGACCTGAGCATTTACTAGCTGGATGCCCTTCCTGATGCCTATGTGGAGTTCACAGTAGATATTTTCTCTCTTGCCCTGATAAATAAACACCTGTCTCACTGTCTAGGATTGAACTCTCAATCTTCTAAGAGGGAGGTGAGCATATTCACATCTAGGCCACCGTGCCACATACCTATTGTATATCTCTATATCCTATAATATCTATATCTATGATTGTGAAACAGAATTTGCAAAAGTGAATTCATTTCTAGACTATTATTCCATTCTCTATAAATGCTATTATGTCAGCTTTGAAAAAATTTCTTACCCACAGAAAACCATACTCCGTAGAAAGAGAATCAGGGTCACTTTCTTCACATAAACAAGGCTCAGGATTATAAGCAGCACATTCAACCTTAACACACAAAGTAAGAAATTGTTAGTAAAAATGTCATATATTTTGCTATGGCAATACATAAAGAAATGAATGAATAAATAATGCTTTTCTGACCCACTGCTAGTAAAACTGAAGCCAATGAGCAAAAGAAGAATGATTTCTATCTTGCACAAATGTATATTATATTTTTCTGTCTAACAATTTTATGTTCTATGTCAATTTTGGATTTTAACATTAAGTTAGTGAAAAATGCTTCCAGTCCAAATAACTGATAAAGAGGAAATAAAATTTAACTTTAGGTAAAGTAACTTAGAGTAACATGCATGTTTCCATCTGTTCATTAGCTAGTTAGCAAACGAAATCAATGATATTTACCTTAAATTCCTGTTGTTTGGCCATCATTACAGGCATGTGTTTCACAAGGAGTGGATGCTTCTCTTTTTTAATCTGGTTCCCATCATCATCTATACAGAACCAACCCAGCAGATTTTCATCAGCTGTAATGGCAAAAGGGGGGGAAAAAAGTCTTTGTTTCCAATAAATCATTGCTATGTTTTTATGTCATAGCAATAGCAATAGCAGTTAGACTTATCTATCGCTTCGTAGGGCTTTCAGCCCTCTCTAAGCGGTTTATAGAGTCAGCATATGCCCCCAACAACAATCCGGGTCCTCATTTTACCCACCTCGGAAGGATGGAAGGCTGAGTCAACCTTGAGCCGGTGAGATTTGAACAGCCGAACTGCTGATCTAGCAGTAGCCTGAAGTGCTGCATTTAACCACTGCGCCACCTCGGCTCTCTTAATTAAATATGAATAGACACATATTTTCTAGTAACTGCTTCTGTAGAATAACCAAGTAATCAAACGTTTTCTTTTCAGGGTTCACAAAGGTGTTTTATAAAGGCATTAAGGTTAATAATGGGAAGTTCTAGAGAAACTCTGAAGCCTTATGCTGCTTATTCTAGAAGGCAACACTTATGCATTCAAAAGTTTTAAAAGATAACATTTTAAAAGATAACAAATATTTACATAATCTCTATAGAGAAAAATCCCTCATGCAGATATCTATTTAAAAATGATCTTCCAAAAATATATTAACTTTGAATAGTAGTGTAAAGGAGTGTTCGCATGCACATAGAGAGATATGGTGGTTTTTGTCCTTCTTCAGATCTTAACTGCAAAGAATATTAGGCTACGTCCAAAGTAAAATAAAGGCATCAGTATAATGAAAATATATAGTGTTTACTATATATTAGTATTTGGGGAATAGATTTTGCATTGAAAGAATAACAAGAGGGAGGGGGAGAGGGGGGAGGAGAGAGAATTTTGCCAGCAAAAAGAATCCCAGCATACAATAAAATAGCAAAAGGATACACAAAGAAGCTCAAATCAGTGCGTAATATAAATTAGCAAAAGAAGCCTGACTACATCTAGCTTCATATTTTGATTAGAGGACTAATTTCTTCAGTGTTTCTGACCCTTTTCCAGTACTGAAATGGTTGGTCCTTAGCTGCAGAAGCCAGTCGTGGAGATTCCCTGCAAATAGAACTGAAATCTCTCTTCTTTCAATTGATTTCTTAGATTTTGAGTTTTCTAAGTTTTGCCAAACTCTGGTCACTATCTAGGATAAATCATTTATTAGCTCATTTTCTGTCAGTCTTCCTCTCCTTTGCCACAGGTATTCAGAAGACACAGAAATTTATTTATTTATTTATTTATTAGACTTATATACCGCTTCATAGGGCTTTCAGCCCTCTCTAAGCGGTTTACAATTTTTTTTTTAGCAAATTGAGTCAGCAACTTACCCCCACAGTCCGGGTCCTCATTTGACCCCCCTCGGAAGGATGGAAGGCTGAGTCGACCTTGAGCCGGTGAGATTTGAACAGCCGAACTGCAATAGCAATAGCAATAGCAATAGCAATAGCAATAGCAATAGCAATAG